ATAAATTATCTGATTTCTCCCTTTCCCAGCAATCAAATGTTTCCATAGCTAGATAGCATGAGCTACCAGCATTTACATGACAAAATGAACAAATGGGGTAACTATAAAACCTCCTTCAAATTGAGCTCATCCTCTGGTAACTTCACCAATTCATCCAAGTAGTTTCTGTCTTTCTGTAGTTTATTTATTTTTAACATAACAACGTAGCCCACAAATATGGGATTTCCTGGTATTCTCATATCCACTCAAATACATTACCTGATCCACCTTAGCGTTTCAATATCAATCAGCTGTCATTGTTTAGGGTTTAGTGCCTCCTACAAATCTACTTCCAACTTACTTCGAAAAGTTCTTCCAAAAGGAAGAAGCCAGGCAAGTAAGAGAAGGCTGACATTCCTGGGTCCGTTCAAACAACGGGAGGCGTCAAAGTCTTCCTGGGAGCGCGCTAAGGCAAGGATGCTGTATTTTGGAATAACGACCACAACGTGTGATTAAGATACTGTTCAGAGTAGGATGTAAGCAATATTATGTTACGTGGAGGACTGTGGTTAGTTTGGCCATGGTGTACACCTGAAGTGAGAACAAAGCCCTAAGAAGCGTGTTTGCAAAGGCGGGGGGGGGAGGGGGAGACAAGCAGAGACCGGGCGGCAACGAGTGCATTGCGACCACTTAGCCAGCAGAGGGCGGGAAATACCGGGAGGGGAGGGAAAACACTCAGCGACACGTGACCGTCCCACGGATCAGGCGACTTAGCTCGTCCACTCACCCGCAGCGGCCGCATTCGGGTCTCCGCGCGCTGAGCTCCACGGGCAGCTCCCAGAGACCTTCGTAACACTCTTCGCTTCCCTCGGTTGCGTTCTCAGGTGCAGGAGCTGTAGGCTGCCGCTGCTCCTCTCCGTTCTCCGCCGCGTCAACCGACAACGGCCCCTTTTCCATGGCTGCTGCGAAGAGTGAACTCAACTGCTTTATGTGCAGAACGGGCCAGCTGTAATCCCTGGAGTCTGCAGGCAGAGCTGAGGGAGCCTGCCTTGAAATCTTCTAAGCAGCCGAAACGGCAGCCTGGTCCACCTCTGTTTCCTGATGTGCGTCTCTTAAGGACACGTGAAGAAAGACCGGCTCTGAAACCGAAGAAGCCCGAAAAGCAAAGCTTGGACACGTGGTTAGAATGTGTCCGCCTTCCCCTTTCCTGGCATCCACAACAGATGCAAAAAATTGGTCTGTCATTGGCCGCAAGAGGGCTCAGCTAGAAAGTCTTGTTAGTTTCGTGTGATGGAGAAGAGTGCGGGCGTGGTTCGGTATTGTTTAGTATGAAAAGTTTATTTGCCAATGCTCCACGTAGTTAGAAGGCTTTAGTTCCAGGGAAGCATGCCTATAAATAAGAGTCATGTTTAGAAGCAAGTATTGTAATCTGTCCCAATACAGCAGCCCTATTAAACTGATCTTCCCAGTTTACTTTCAGATCTTTGATTTTACTCAAGACTGGTTTACTGGAATCATTTGCTTTAATTTGAATAACATAAAGTGGATTGCCGAATGTTCAGTTTCACAGCATGTGGAAGTAGAATGCTGCCTGGTTTGTGGTGCCTTGGACAACTAGGACTTGCTACTATCCAAACTCTCAATCACTGGGTAGGTCCCAATAAGTTCACTGTATGCCAGACTTGGGAAAGCTGTATTAACACTTTGTAATTTAAGCTTGTTTATGGGATGATAAAAATGATTTTCTAAGTAGCATAAGATTAAACTTTAAAAAAAATCACATAAGTCCTGTGTCTACTGTAGTGACTATTTCAGAAATCGGCAAGATACAACACCTCTAAGATTCAGAGGCAAAAATTTACTTTTGATATATGGAACACATAGAATCTGTATACATCTTCTTAAAGCATGTATGCTTTTTTTTAAAGTACCAGTCCCACAACTACAACACAATTCTAAGGAAAGTTGCATCTATCTGAAGGTATGGCAGGTGGATGCTAAAGTCATTTTTCTACATCCTCCAAAATGCTTTTTGTAGAACTCCAAAGCATTGAACTGTCAAATTAAAATTCTCTTAATATCTAAACTCCACAATTATGTAGAAGTCCTGAAATCTAAACTATGTTAAATCATGATTGCATAAGGTCATGATATACATTTCATCACTTATACTGTGCAAAATATACTATATTGCCAAAAGTATTCGCTCACCTGCCTTTACTCACATATGAACTTACTGTAAGTGACATCCCATTCCTAATTCATAGGGTTCAACATGACATCAGTCCCTACCCTTTGCAGCTATAACAGCTTCTGGGAAGGCTGTCCACAAGGTTTAAGACTGTGTTTATGGGAATTCTTGACCATTCATCCAGAAGCGCATTTGTGAGACCACACACTGATGTTGGATGAGAAGACCTGGTTCTCAGTCTCCACTCTTAATTCATCCCAAAGGTGTTCTATCAGGTTGAGGTCAGGACTCTTTGCAGGCCAGTCAAGTTCATCCACACCAGACTCTGTCATCCATGTCTTTATGGACCTTGCTTTGTGCACTGGTGCACAGTCATGTTGGAAGAGGAAGGGGCCAGTTGGGAGCATGGAATTGTCCAAAATGTCTTGGTATGCTGAAGCATTCAGAGTTCCTTTCACTGGAACTAAAGGGCCAAGCCCAGCTCCTGAAAAACAATCCCACACCATAATCTTTCCACCTGGCACAACGCAGTCAGACAAGCACGTTCTCCTGGCAACCGCCAAACCCAGACTCATCCATCAGATTGCCAGATGGAGAAGGGTGATTCATCATTCCAAAGAATGCGTCTCCATTGCTCTACAGTCCAGTGGCGGCGTGCTTTACACCACTGCATCCGACCCTTTGCATTGCACTTGGTGATGTATGGCCTGGATGCAGCTGCTTAGCCATGGAAACCCATTCCATGAAGCTCTCTGCACACTGTCCTTGAGCTAATCTGAAGGCCACATGACGTTTGGAGGTCTGTAGCAATTGACTCTGAAGAAAGTTGACGACCTCTTCGCACTATGCGCCTCAGCATCCACTGACTCCACTGTCAGTTTATGTGGCCTACCACTTCGTAGCTGAGTTGCTGTCAGTTCCAAACACTTCCACGTTCTTATAATACAGCTGACAGTTGACTGAAATATTTAGGAGCAAGGAAATTTCACAACTGGATTTGTTGCACAGGTGACATCCTATCACAGTTCCACTCTGGAATTCACTGAGCTCCTGAGAGCCACCCCTTCTTTCACAAATGTTTGAACAATCTGCATGCCTAGGTACTTAATTTTATACACCTGTGGCCATGGAAGTGATTGGAACACCTGATTCTGATTATTTGGATGGGTGAGCGAATACTTTTGGCAATATAGTGTATTTTCAATACTGTTCTGGGGATTAAAAAGCATAGCTTAATTTTATGTCTCCATAAATGTCCTTTTCAGAAGCTCCCTAAATAGAATGCAATGTGCACAATACAAAATTTCTAGATTTACCTAATAAAATAAATTTGGAATTACAAACCTCACTAAACAAAGATGTGATTTCCTTTTTATGCCTTAGTAAGATATGGTGACCCAAACTGGCTTTTTAGCCAAGGTTTATGACTTACTACTGTTGTGAACCAAGCCAACTGGGTATATTAAGGTTAAAACAATGGGTTACATTGGTTTTAACCTTAATATACCCAGTTGGCTTGGTCACAAGTACCATGGGTTACATTGCTGTTTAAACATAACCTTGTAGTACACAACTCTGTAAATGTGAGGCAAGTTTACTATCTGGAATTGTAACCATAATTGTAATTTTATAGTGCTTTCTATTGATATGTGAATCCCACCAAGAGCTCTATGTCAATCACACTTATGATGCACAGATACTTGCAGCCTAAAAGATCAGAAACTACAAGTAGGTAGATATTCCTTCCCACATTTACCTGTTTCATCACTATATAGACCAGTTTTTATCAACTTGATAGTCTCTGAATATGTCACACATCAGCTCATGTAATTATCAGTTATAGTGGTTGGTTAGCTAGGGAAAATGGACAGCCCACACACAAAACAGTTCTAAATAAAATGAAAAAGTATTTCAATTTTATTTTAGCATTTGCAGTACAATATTTGATTTTTAACCCACTTTTGTTTATAAACAATGCAAAGTGATGAATATATCTAATACTCCTTCCTCCTGTTTTCCCCAAAATAACCCTGAGATGGATTGGGTTGAAAGCCCAAAATCAATACCTAAACAGAAACTTACAACAGTGCTGTGAATCCGACAAATTCTCATCTATTTAGTTTTTCAGTAATGTAGCAAACTTAACATCACCCATCTGCCAGTCCCAACTAACGGAACACTCTATCCGCAAACGTAAGGTCCACTGAACTAAGGGGCTTATTTCTACGTAAATACATATAGGACTTGAATATAGGAGGAAGAGAATCCAATTTGTTTTCACATTATGTCTTCCTGGGTCGTTTGCTCTGAACATTGCAACTTTATCGAAATGTAATAGTTCTCACGCTGCACGGAAGTAAACTAGCACCGCTATTGTCACATATTTTTTATCCACTTCACGCGCCTTAATCTGACATTTATCCTAGAGAAGCACAAACGTATCAACGCAGATGCAATAGAGCTTTCTTGCCACCTTCACCGGCGGCCGAGAGCTGTCGTAAAATATCGCCGCGTGTCAACACTACGCATGCTTTCGAGCCCATCTCCCCCTCCCCGTCTTTCAAAAGAGCGCATGCGTGTGTCCGCTGTCATCCAACCTAGTGCTGTTTATGTTAGAGAAAGGGAAAACAAAAAAAATGTTCGTCGTTTAGAGGAGAGACGTCATTGTTTCATTGATCTCGCGATGTTTCCTCGCATTATGAGCTTTCGGCGCAGGCTCTTGGATTGAGGCTGCCGGAGGAAGGCGTCTTGAGGCGGAAGGAGAGCTCGCCTGCGTGATTAGCCAGAGAGAAGCTCTCGGTCTGCCCATGGAGGGGAGGAGCCTGTGAGGAGACCCGCCCCACACTATGTCCGCCCGTCACCTCCTCCTCCGGCTCCTGAGAGACTGATCAGCGGCCGAGCAGCTCACAGAGCATCGGCGGTGGGCTCAGACGGCTGCGTGGGCGGCCGGCCGGCCGGTCGGTCTAGAGCGGAAAAAGGACGGTTCCGCTATGAACCTGCACCAGGTGCTAACGGGGGCTGTCAACCCCGGGGACAACTGCTTCTCCGTGGGGAACGTCGACGGCCACCCTTTCACGGTGAGTCTGCCTCACTGTCGGGGCCGGTTAACGGATTCCTCCTGCGTCCTCTCCCCGGCTCCTGGCAAGGTTTGGCCTCAGCCTCAGCGCGGAGCCGGATGGCGTTGGCGGGTGGTTCAGCAGGTGCCTTATTAACCTGCGCGCGACCTGTCCGCACAGCGTCGGTGTCGGCGCCCATGTTAGTTTTAAAAACGGGGGTGGGTGGTAGATGAATCCTGGTCCTTTCTGAACTAAGAAAAGGGGCTAGTTTGGGAAGGCTTTATTAATCCTTTGGTTTCCTCCTCCGTCTTCCTTTCTCTTGTCAGTATTTTTGTTCCTATTCATCCTGAATTCGCCTTTACCAAAGACATAATGTAACAACTGAATTGTATTCCTCCCTCACTCCACCCCTCAGCGACTAATTTAAATATATGAAACATGAATATCAGAGTGAAGAGGAGGAAGAGGTGCTAGAATTCAAGCTTTTGTTTTTAGCTTCCTTATAGTCAGAAAGGGGAAGGCTTATTTGTTCGGACTTCATTTTCTGGGTTCACTTGACTCCCTTTTGGATTATAAACAAACAACCGACTTTGTAACCTACTGACTGGTTATGGGAATACTAGGTTAAATTATCTGACTAGTTTGTGAATCTCTAGCTACATTCACAATATGCTTAAACCCCAAGCCTTGGTTAAGGAACAGTAGTAGGGTTTCCTGCCTAATCAAAGGGTTGGACTAGAAGACTTCTGAGGTCCCTACCAACTCTGTTATTCTATAATCATCTATAATGTCCAACCCAGTAAATCATATTACTGCTTAACATACTGATCTGATCTCACACAGTATGTTTCCCACTGCAATCTCTAAACCCAATTCCATTGTAATCTAGCACAGTGCAGTGAATATGAGAATTCTTGCATCTTGCAAATACAATGTCTCTCTGTTGATCCCAATTATTTTATTTCAGTCTGACTTTGTATTCAAAGACTGACTTCTGGTTCTTCATTAAGTTTGCAATTTCTATTTATTTATAACTCATATTTATAGCTCATGAAAGTCCTTGAGCTGACTCTAGGTGTTAAACAGAATTAAAAACAAATAATATCAAATGTGAAATAGAACAAATGTCTTTTAAAAGCTTTTACAAATGGAGCCTACCAGTGGTGGGTTTCTATTTTTTTTTATTACCAGTGCATACGTGTGATGCTTCTGTGCGTGTGCAGAAGGTTCTCTGCATGCGCAGAAGCGTCCGGGCAGGTGAGTAGAACCTCCTGCTGCCACCACTACTAGTTCGCCCGAACCCGGCTGAACCGGGAGCAACCCACCTCTGGAGCCCACATCTGTCAGTATTGTGAGGTAGTCCAAATGAAGCATAACCAGAGTACTAGTTCTACTGTATTGTAAGAATGCATTAACAGATTGTTGCCAATCTGAAAGTACATTTATCCCGTTACCTTTATAGCCTAAGAAACTATGAAAAATTATTTCTGAGATGTTTGCCATAGCCACATTCTTTTTGCTGGCTAATCCACTGCTTATCTGACCATTGGCCCTGGATATGAGTCTTCCCCCTGCCTTCCAATGTCATTACCACATGCCATTACAAATTCTACTTTAGTTCAAAGCTTGGGGAAAAACTCAGTTTCAAAATATGTTTAAGGAAAAATGTGCCATCTAAATGCTGATTCAAAGGCAAGTGTCATGACACAACCAACATCTCCCCTCTTCCATAAAATGATATTGTTTCTTGGATGAGAATCGAAGTATGCTGAATCTGATTTTCAGAATAGTCGGAAATAATGGGAGAATAATGTTCCCTAAGATAACTAGGCCTTAAGTTAAAGGACTTTGTATATAAGAATCAACTATTTGAATAACACCCATAAGCCTACTGGTAGCCACTGCACTTTTTGCAGGGGAGGTGTTACAAAAATGTACCATTTATTCTGAACTAATGGTCTTAAAGGACAGCACAAAATCATGTATCATCTGTACAGTATATACTAATCTCACTGAAGAATTGTGGAATTGGAATTTATTAGGGTGTTATTTGTTCGGTGACTAATAGACATGGCTACTAAAACTATATTTTCAGTGTTTCTTACATAAGATTTCATTTAAAAGTCTTAATTTGCTGCTTTGTGAAATTATATCCATTAGTGAAATAATTCATTAGCAATGCAAGAATATTGCTTGTATAGGATATACAGCAAATATTTTGGTATGTTACATTAAACATTGGCTATGTGGAAAGAATAACTGTTGTAATTATTCCTCTTGGAGTAAAATTAGATGGTAGCAGCCATTATATGTTAATTCCCATTTATCTCTACATTTTATATATATTACTATATATAGGAATTGAAAGTGGGACCTTGTGTATTGGAAAGTGTATTTAGAATGCTTTATCAGGTTTTTATTGTGGCATCATCTTGCATTTTTCAAGCAAAGAAGAACCTGACAGACCTTGAAGAACCAGAATTTTACAAGCTAAGCATATGTATTGTTTACCAAATAATCCAAGAATATTTAATGTCAACAATGATAGTTGATGAGAATACAAGGAAGCTTTTACCTCAGAAATCACATTCTTGTTTCAAGTTCCTTGGAAGGCATTCTCTTATTGTAGATGGAGGTTCTATTGTCTCTTTCTATTTTCTTCATTCTGATAAGTTTCTAACAGTACACCCCAAAAAAGGAAATATTGCAAGGCAAGATAATAGATTTAACACTTCAATAAGATAATTAAATCAAGGAAGATGAGGAAGGTGGTAAATTCAGTATAGTCAACTATCGCCTCAACTGAGAATTACTATATGAATACTATATGTATCTTTAATGTAGAATTGGTCTAATTGCGTTATAATGCTGAAGATTTCAATATTTTTTTAAATATAATAGTTTAAGGGGGCTAAATATACTGGAGATGTTCATATATCAGCACTACAGCAGTGACCTTGGCAGAAGCCTGGATTGGCGTATGGGGGCGGCCCTGGACTAAATTGCTCCTATGCTTCTTTCTCTGTATGCTGATCTTGGGGTGGTTTATAGTTTTCTGGAGCTCCAAGAGATGAAACACTAGCAACAATGTCTAGAGCAGTGTTGCAGAAAGACAAAGAGTGAATCTGATCAAGCACAAATGAGAGCCTATATTCAGACATATATCAGCGCAATAAGGATGGCAAAACATTGCTATTTCTCTACTCTTATTGCATCTCTCTATAGCTGCCAAGCTATATAGCTTCCTCTTAAGGAAGAACCACTCCCGATTGAAGGAATAGGATCCATAGGAATATTTCCAGGACTGTGCTGAGGAATATTGCTGTCCAGCAGAGTTCCTCATATTCTCTCAAAGATTGGAATCTGATTGGTTAAGTTCTATTGAATTGCCAAGGAATAGTCTTGTAATATTAATTGGATTATGATTGTGTTATGCCCAAGAAAATGGAAAAGATACTTTGTCAATCCAGCTACCTATTTATTAGATTTTGGCCACACCTGGGTTAGTAAAACAGCCAGAAAGTAACAACACAGTCCTTTTGACCCTGAGACAAGTGGTGATCCCACCAGACTTAAAGGAAGTGGTGGTATTCTCCCTCCTCAAGAGGTCATGATTTTCTGTTGGAGATTTATCTGTCAGTTTTCAATCTTTCTGGTGAAGGTTACCGTAGTTAAAGACCTTTGTCAGAGCTAGGATGGGGTGGGGGTGCATCTATTCTAATGTTCCTTGAACTTTTGTCAGCTTTTGATGCTGTCCGACCACAGTATGACTGGTTATGGGAATCAGGAGTGCAAGGCACTATCCTTCAGTGATTCACCTCCCTTAGAAGTTAGTTCCAGTCAGAGGAGAAAGATTATGTCTACAAAGGCTTACTTGTGGGGTACCTTGTTTAGCTGCTCTTATTGCCACAATGTAATCCTTAAGTAGGGAGTTTACACCTCTGGCTGGTTTTGTTCATTATCTTCCAGTGATCTAGACATCTCTTTTGTAGTTTCATTTCCTAAGCCCTTCGGAAATCCAGGAAGCCCCATGGGATTGATGAATATGGTAAAGCCATATGAGTACAATCTGATTCAAGATTCCTGTCCATATCTATTCCAGGTGAAGTTTAAGCTCTCAAGTGGAACTGACCACCAGCTACCCAGGAAAAATCCCAATGTGCCTTTGAAGCCCATCAAAGGCCATTAATCACCTTGAATGGATTAAACAGGAGCATACCAATCCTAGGGCTAATGACTGTGGGGTCCCATGTCAAACTGTAGATCACATCATGACCACTGTAAGCTGAGGGCATTTACCAGTCCAGTATCTGAGTTTTTTTAAATATAAACAATACTCTACCTCAATGGTTAGATGAGACGTTGACATTTGAATATAGATCTTTTTGACATTTATAGTTTTTGGGATTCTACTAATGTATTTGAAATGTTAATTTGTATTGCTAGTACATGTATAATATGCCATACAGTAAATAAATAAATAAACTGAACAGGAAGTCCTACTTCCCTGCAACACCTGAGCTGATCAGCTTAGGATAAACAATTACATGGCTATAATAATTATTGTTTATTGTTTGTTGATACCTTTGAGATTGCACATGATTCTTCTAGTGGTCTGGTTTTAGCTATTATAGGCCCAAATTTTAACTGAGGCCAAATTTTAGATCCATTTCTACTACATTGTAAATGTAGAAGGAAATAGTTTGATGTTTCTTTTTCTCTTCCTTATTAAGTGATTGAATCCAATGGCCTTTTCGACTGGCAAATAGGTATATTTAGAAAAATGTAGAACGTGTTATATGACATTTCTGACAGTTTAACATGGACTACTTTCAAGGCATATCATTTCTGAATATCTTCCTGAATTTTTAAGAACTTTTCAAATATATTATAAGCTTTGCCTTTATTGAAGGCATTTAGGAATCTTTTAAGGCTATCTCTGAAATGATGATTCAAGAGTCATTATGTTATGCAGTTTCATTTATAAGGACAAAACTAGTCATTCACTACCTCCTGATAATCATGTGATATGTAAAAGCCACAGGATGCTCAAATAGTTCCTCCCCCCTTGGTGGAGTCATAAATCTCCAAAGGCATCTCTTATAAAACAGTTATATCTCAAGTTTGAGAGCTCATAAAAGGAAAGCTTATATGGTTCATAGATTGTACATTTTCCCTTTGTGATTATATCTTAATGAAATTCATGAGATAAAAATTAAAGGTATTCTGGGAGGAAACATATAAAGTGACTATCCACATAGCATCTGAAAAACTTTTTTATTTGTTAGTAGTAGATATTAAGGTAATATTCCTTTGCATTATAAACATGATTGAAAGTACATGTGTAGACTGAGTTATGGACACTAGATATTGTTCCTTTCTTTGGGCTATTAACAAAAAATAAAAAGAACAATTATTTAGTCAATTTTCCTTTTTTCCTCCTGTAGGCTTATGCATCAGGATGCGACATAGTGATATTGGGGACAGATTTTGAAAGATTACAAATAATTCCTGGAGCAAAATATGGAAATATACAAGTGGGATGTGTAGATTGTTCCATGCAGCAAGGGAAGGTAAGTAGTAATGGCATTTAAGCTTTATTCTAATTTGCTATACAATATGATTATAATAATGACATATCAAATTCTGTACTTGCTGTTGGGAGTGATTCACATGGATCTATGCTTAAATAGATAAAAAAATCCATAAATATATACTTAATTAGACTTAAATGGAAATATATACTTAATATATAACAATTTCTTGCAGTTGAGTACTCAATTATATTTCTAGATTCAAATGTATTTATTAATTATGTTGAATAAATTTACTTTCTCTCCTCTCTCTTTCTTTCTCTCTCCCTCCCCCCCCCTCTCTCTCACACACACATACACATACACTTCATGCAACATATATATGCTATATCAATCTCTGTGTGTCTGTGTATGCATTGATTTTTGTTCTAGAGAAGCTAGGAATATAGATATAGCAGTATACCGTGTTTCCCTGAAAATATGACCCAAAAAGAAGGCCAACCCTGATTTTTGCGGTGGGCATAAATATACGCCCTCCCCTGAAAATAAGCACTAGTGAAGGGATGGGGTGGCCAGCAAAGGAGACAGTTTTTCCCTTCCCTAGCACTTCATGGAGGTTCAGCCGCTTAATTGCTGCCCACTGAGCCAGCTGCCGGCTTCCTCCCATTTCCTGCCGATTATTCTGTATTTGGGATTGCAGCACCAAAAACACATCCCCAAAAGGCTCAATCCGAAACCTTCAGCCTTACAATCCTAGGAGGGGCGTCTGTGCTGCGATCCCAAAGAAAGAATGGTGTGTGTGTGTGTGTGTGAGAGAGAGAGAGAGAGAGACTTTTTTTTTTAATGAGAAGTTGGAAGGTCTGAATTTCTGGTATTTTTTTTTTAACATGGTTGCACAGACTAATTTTCTTGACCTGAATGCGCAGCAGAGAACGGAGCTGGAAAGCAGTTAGTGAAGGGATGTGGCTCCCCTGGGGAGGGAGGAGGGTTTGGGATGGGTAGCCTGGCTGAAGGGCCTTCAGGTAAGCCTGTAGGCCCTGCCTTGCTTCATCCTCCACCCTCCCCACCACTTTGCTTCATTCTTCTTTGCAACATGCAGCCTCTCACAGTAACAAGAATTGCAGGCAATTCCCAAGATTGCCTGATTCTCAACCAGCCAGCTGCATGGTAAGAGGGAGCTTCCTGTCCACCTGAAAGAGAGGCTGGGTTGTATAAAGGGCTTTCCCCCTTTATACAAGACCCTCTCAAGCGCCAGGCTGCAGGCTTCACCCCAGAGAGCCTCAATTGGGGCCAAGCTCTTGGCATTGCGGTAAGACTGTTCTTGAAGGGGGCGCGAGGCACATGGAGCCTCCTGCTGCTTGTGCAGCCTCAAATCAGCTGTAAAAGCAGCTGCAATTCTTGCTGTCTCTTCTCCTCCTTTATGGGCATGGCAAGGCTTCCTGTCCTTCAGCCCCTTTATGGATGCAATTTGAGGGTGGCAGGTGGGGTGGGGGCATCTTGCCTGACTTCCAGCTCCATCACATTTTTCACCGTTGACAGAGCTGTTGACGGAGCTGGAAGTCAGGTAAAATGTGCTTCTCGCTTCTCCCCCTCCCCACCTGCCACCCCCAAACTGCACCCCAAAATAGTAAGGCCAAGAGTTTATTTCGGGGTTCAAAAATATAAGACAGGGTCTTATTTGGGGGGAAACATGGTATTATTTGTCTTTATGTTGTATGCAACCCACAATCATACTGTTTGACTTGGACTGCCTTACAGATATTGTAAATAAATAAATAATTATTGGCTGATATTTTTTCAGTCAACAGGACATGGTTGAATAAACTTCTGTGCCTTAATAATTCTATGAAATGGAGACTACAAAAACTCTGACTTAAATTGCAATTTGTTTTAGATTGCAGCTGCTTATGGAAATATAATTTGCATCTTTGAGCCAGTCAAACATCTAAAGCAGAAGAATAATAATTATGTAAGTGATTAATCTTTTCTGTCATATTAATTAATTATACACACAATGTGATTTGCTTTGATTATTTCTGAAATGTAATAAAGTTTAAGTGGATTATTAACAATTACACAAATTTTCCTGAAATCATAATAGAGTGCATTGTACTTAAGACATTAAGAAAAACTATATTGTTGACTTAAGTTTAAATTTTTCATGGAATTTTTGGTAAGTTTAATTTATTTGATTGATTTTATCCAGCATTTGCACTGTTAACGGTTTTTAATAGCAACGAATGGCCTTCAGACTTGAGGCTAGTTTTAGCTCCCATGTTTTAAATTTTTATCAACTATTAGACAAAGCACAAAGTATTATAGAAACTGTTGAATTAGCACCAGACTTTTGTAAAGTGTCTGAAAAAAGCCAGCTTTCTTTCCATGTACACCATAACTACCATACGGTGTACATTGCTGAGTGGCAATTTTTTTCCCTTTCTCTTCCTATAGTCCTGGAATTTCCAGAGAATTTTTCATCGAAGGATTAAGCTGCACAGATTACAAGTAGCATTCTAGGGAGTGGAAAGTTTAAGTCACATTTGGTTTGACTGCTTTATTTTTATATTAAGATGTCTGGATTTTTAGCCCTTTACTTATTCATTCCATAAAAGAATGGAAACTTTCAGGTGTCCTGAAAGTACAAATGATCTTGGAATACAAAGCACTGGAAGTTTGACTTATGCAACTGTAGTGTCTTTCATGGTACAATACTGATCACTGCTTTTCAATTACATTTCAAAATTAATTGACCACACGATGAGTTTCAGTGAATTTGCCTGAAAGACACTAAAACAAAATTCAGAGGGAGTTCTTCAGAGGGAGAAAAAAGAAATCAAAGCCACATATAAGTAACATCTAAGATCTAAAGATGAATTTTTCCCATGTTTATTCTTTAAAGCTAGATAATTGGAGGGAATGGACAAGCTAGTACTTATTTCCTGAAATGTTTTATACAAGCTTCTTATTTAAACATTTAAGGAAATAAGTACAGTTGGAATGAATAAATGACACATTGTCAAACAAAAGGAACATTGCAGCACAACCTTTCATGCTTCATACTGTAATAAAGTTTATTTAATTCAATATAACCTATTATAGTGTGTGTGTGTGTATGTGTGTATGTATGTATATATGTATGTATGTATGTATGTATGTGTATATATATATATATATATATATATTTATATGTATGTATGTGTGTATATATTTATTTATTTATTTATTTATTTATTTATTACATTTATATGCCG